ATGATACATGTATACCTTGTCTATATTTGACTTAATGCCTTATGATACATGTATACCTTGTCTATATTTGACTTAATGCCTTATGATACATGTATACCTCGTCTATATTTGACTTAATGCCTTATGATACGTGTACACCATGTCCATATTTGACTTAATGCCTTATGATACGTGTACACCTTGTCTATATTTGACTTAATGCCTTATGATACATGTATACCTTGTCTATATTTGACTTAATGCCTTATGATACGTGTACACCATGTCCATATTTGACTTAATGCCTTATGATACGTGTACACCTTGTCTATATTTGACTTAATGCCTTATGATACATGTATTCCTTGTCTATATTTGACTTAATGCCTTATGATACATGTATACCTTGTCTATATTTGACTTAATGCCTTATGATACATGTACACCATGTCTATATTTGACTTAATGCCTTATGATACGTGTACACCATGTCCATATTTGACTTAATGCCTTATGATACGTGTACACCTTGACTATATTTGACTTAATGCCTTATGATACATGTACACCTTGTCTATATTTGACTTAATGCCTTATGATACGTGTACACCTTGTCTATATTTGACTTAATGCCTTATGATACATGTACACCTTGTCTATATTTGACTTAATGCCTTATGATACATGTATACCTTGTCTATATTTGACTTAATGCCTTATGATACATGTACACCTTGTCTATATTTGACTTAATGCCTTATGAAACATGTACACCTTGTCTATATTTGACTTAATGCCTTATGATACATGTATACCTTGTCTATATTTGACTTAATGCCTTATGATACATGTACACCTTGTCTATATTTGACTTAATGCCTTATGATACATGTATACCTTGACTATATTTGACTTAATGCCTTATGATACGTGTACACCATGTCCATATTTGACTTAATGCCTTATGATACATGTACACCATGTCTATATTTGACTTAACGCCTTATGATACATGTATACCTTGACTATATTTGACTTAATGCCTTATGATACGTGTACACCTTGTCTATATTTGACTTAATGCCTTATGATACGTGTACACCATGTCCATATTTGACTTAATGCCTTATGATACATGTATACCTTGTCTATATTTGACTTAATGCCTTATGATACATGTATACCTTGTCTATATTTGACTTAATGCCTTATGATACATGTATACCTTGTCTATATTTGACTTAATGCCTTATGATACGTGTACACCTTGTCTATATTTGACTTAATGCCTTATGATACGTGTACACCTTGACTATATTTGACTTAATGCCTTATGATACATGTATACCTTGTCTATATTTGACTTAATGCCTTATGACACGTGTACACCTTGTCTATATTTGACTTAATGCCTTATGATACGTGTACACCTTGACTATATTTGACTTAATGCCTTATGATACATGTACACCTTGTCTATATTTGACTTAATGCCTTATGATACGTGTACACCTTGTCTATATTTGACTTAATGCCTTATGATACGTGTACACCTTGTCTATATTTGACTTAATGCCTTATGATACATGTACACCTTGACTATATTTGACTTAATGCCTTATGATACATGTATACCTTGTCTATATTTGACTTAATGCCTTATGACACGTGTACACCATGTCTATATTTGACTTAATGCCTTATGATACGTGTACACCATGTCCATATTTGACTTAATGCCTTATGATACGTGTACATCTTGTCTATATTTGACTTAATGCCTTATGATACGTGTACACCTTGTCTATATTTGACTTAATGTCTTATGATACGTGTATACCTTGTCTATATTTGACTTAATGCCTTATGATACGTGTACACCATGTCTATATTTGACTTAATGCCTTATGATACATGTACACCTTGTCTATATTTGACTTAATGCCTTATGACACGTGTACACCTTGTCTATATTTGACTTAATGCCTTATGATACGTGTACACCTTGACTATATTTGACTTAATGCCTTATGATACATGTACACCTTGTCTATATTTGATTTAATGCCTTATGATACGTGTACACCATGTCTATATTTGACTTAATGCCTTATGATACGTGTACACCATGTCCATATTTGACTTAATGCCTTATGATACGTGTACACCTTGTCTATATTTGACTTAATGCCTTATGATACATGTATACCTTGTCTATATTTGACTTAATGCCTTATGATACGTGTGGTACCCATGTCCATATTTGACTTAATGCCTTATGATACGTGTACACCTTGTCTATATTTGACTTAATGCCTTATGATACATGTATTCCTTGTCTATATTTGACTTAATGCCTTATGATACATGTATACCTTGTCTATATTTGACTTAATGCCTTATGATACATGTACACCATGTCTATATTTGACTTAATGCCTTATGATACGTGTACACCATGTCCATATTTGACTTAATGCCTTATGATGCGCGTGTACACCTTGACTATATTTGACTTAATGCCTTATGATACATGTATACCTTGTCTATATTTGACTTAATGCCTTATGATACATGTGTACACCTTGTCTATATTTGACTTAATGCCTTATGATACGTGTACACCTTGTCTATATTTGACTTAATGCCTTATGATACATGTACACCTTGTCTATATTTGACTTAATGCCTTATGATACATGTACACCTTGTCTATATTTGACTTAATGCCTTATGATACATGTACACCTTGTCTATATTTGACTTAATGCCTTATGATACATGTACACCTTGTCTATATTTGACTTAATGCCTTATGATACATGTACACCTTGTCTATATTTGACTTAATGCCTTATGATACATGTACACCTTGTCTATATTTGTACACCTTGTCTATATTTGACTTAATGCCTTATGATACATGTATACCTTGACTATATTTGACTTAATGCCTTATGATACGTGTACACCATGTCCATATTTGACTTAATGCCTTATGATACATGTACACCTTGTCTATATTTGACTTAACGCCTTATGATACATGTATACCTTGACTATATTTGACTTAATGCCTTATGATACGTGTACACCTTGTCTATATTTGACTTAATGCCTTATGATACGTGTACACCATGTCCATATTTGACTTAATGCCTTATGATACATGTATACCTTGTCTATATTTGACTTAATGCCTTATGATACATGTACACCTTGTCTATATTTGACTTAATGCCTTATGATACATGTATACCTTGACTATATTTGACTTAATGCCTTATGATACACACCCTGTTGAAACATGTTTAAACCTTCAGCAAGGTTTTTTTCCGATCATGATTTTAAACATGTTTAAATTTTGGGAATGTTGTGTTTATTTTGTGTGTAGGGTTGGAGATGACGGCTCATTTTAAATCTTTTAAACCCTAAACGTGATTAGACTGTACACATCAAAAGTGTATTCCGTTTTGTATTTAAACACATTTCCAAACATGTTTACATATAAACTGTGTGACTAGGTGTAGTTGTGGGTCATCTGGCCACTGGTACCCACTTGACACTGCCCCACCTGGCGATGGTTTACATTGACTATGTAATGTAGCATCATATATAGCCCAGATGACAGGGCAGTCCCATTATTCACAACCAACTCGCGGATTATCCTCGAAAGAAACCAAGGATTATTCGCACTTTAAGATAACGTCTGGCCCTAACATGGCCCATTCCAGTAGAATCCTGACCGTTCTGTTTGTGTCCGTTGTCGTTGTGTGCTTATCAATAACGAAATCAATCAGATTTTCCCAGTTGTCGAACTGTGAGAACAGTTTACTGAAACTTGATATAAGCTTAATGACGAGTACTTGTATTACATGTGAGGTTCGCCTTTGAGCCTTAGCACGTGCATATCTAAGATTAATGTATGGGGCGACCGAAGGGCCAAATCAATCATACACACATAATTATGAAATGAATATAAATGTCTATATGGGGGTTAACTCACAGGGTTTTTTCCATGAGTATTTACAACGTGAGCCTGACCATGACGAGTACAGTTTGGCGGGGATCACTGATGTTGGGGTAGCCCCTCACGTGACTGTGAAGTTGACCTTGTGACGATAACGCAAAATCTGACTGGGCAACAGTGCATCACTGACAGGGTTGTTGTACCACATTTCGATGACCATCCTCTGAACCCAGGGTCAGTCCTCAAGGACGACAATGCTAGGCAACACCCTCCACGTGCCGTTGGTAATTTCTTACGTCAAGAAGCGGTAGCAACTCTGTCATAACCTGCCAGATCTCGATCCCATAGAGCATGTTTAGGGCATTAGGGGTCGCAGAATACCCCATAATCGAGTACATTGTAACAAATCCTCCATCAAGAATTAACCGCAGTACCTCAAAACAGATTCAATGTCTGATGCAGTCGGCGAGGAGGAGGGTCAGGGATGTTGACCTTGTCTCTGGGACAACTGTGTGGCTGCTGTGTCACTGACAACTGTGTGGCTGCTGTGTCACAGACAACTGTGTGGCTGGTGTGTCCCGGACAACTGTGTGGCTGGTGTGTCACGGACAACTGTGTAGCTGATGTGTCTGGGACAACTGTGTGGCTGCTGTGTCTGGGACAACTGTGTGGCTGCTGTGTCACGGACAACTGTGTGTCTGGTGTCTCTGGGACAACTGTGTGGCTGGTGTGTCTGGGACAACTGTGTGTCTGATGTATCACGGACAACTGTGTGTCTGCTGTGTCTGGGACAACTGTGTGTCTGCTGTGTCTGGGACAACTGTGGCTGCTGGACAACTGTGTGTCTGGTGTGTCTGGGACAACTGTGTGGCTGCTGGACAACTGTGTGTCTGGGACAACTTTGTGGCTGCTGTGTCTGGGACAACTGTGTGGCTGCTGTGTCTGGGACAACTGTGTGTCTGGTTTGTCTGGGACAACTGTGTGGCTGGTGTGTCACGGACAACTGTGTGGCTGTGGGTTTGAATCCTTGATGGGACTCAACACAACGAAATTACTAGAATCTGTACTTTACTGAGAGAATGTAATTCCAAATATAACATATTTTCATATCTTGGTCAGGATCCATCCCAGTCCTATTTACACATCAGGTGTGTGTTGGGTGTGTAGGGTGTGTGTGTCCGTAAGTCCAAGAACCATTTACACATCTTCATTCAGTCATATCTGCGGATCTTCACTGAAGATCCATATGTGTCACATCAACACAAATTTGTAAAGGATCCATCTTAGTCCAATTTACATATCCTCTTTCTGGATCCACGTCATTACCCTTTTTGGGAATCTTTCTAAGTCACATCTACACATCTTCGTTCATGATGGACCTCTGTCAAGTCTATACATCTTTGTTCAGGATCCTGCTCAGGCACACATACATATCTTTGAGGAGCATCCATCTCGGTCACATCTACACATCTTCATTCAGGATCCACCTCAGGCACACCTACATATCTTTGAGGAGCATCCATCTCGGTCACATCTACACATCTTCATTCAGGATCCATCTCAGGCACACCTACATATCTTTGAGGAGCATCCATCTCGGTCGCATCTACACATCTCCGTTGAGGACCCAAATCAGGCACACCTACATATCTTTGAGGAGCATCCATCTCGGTCGCATCTACACATCTTCATTCAGGACCCATCTCAGGCACACCTACATATCTTTGAGGAGCATCCATCTCGGTCGCATCTACACATCTCCGTTGAGGACCCAAATCAGGCACACCTACATATCTTTGAGGAGCATCCATCTCGGTCGCATCTACACATCTCCGTTGAGGACCCAAATCAGGCACACCTACATATCATTGAGGAGGATCCATCTCGGTCACATCTACACATCTTTGTTGAGGATCCAAATCAGGCACATCTACATATTGTCATTCAGGATCCATCTTAGTCATATCTACATATTCCACTGTCACACTGACATGTCCTGGTCAGTGGTCTAGACTGCCACATGCTACGTGTCCTTGTCCTCCCCAGATGTTGTCACCATGTGTATCAACACCTCGATTGACTTCCGAACTCCCATTTTCTTCACCATTGTTGAGAAAATCTCTGGAGTGTCAGCTAAAGTGTTATCCTTGTCATATTCAGCCACTGCAGCAGAAAAGTGTGGAACAAGTACAAAACACATTTCAACACAATTTGATGTTCCACCTCACAAGCGTGTCAGCTTGGGGCCACACTGATAACTTCCCTAGGCACCAAACTGTCAGTGTGAGCTGTCAGCATAGAGTCAGTCAGCTGTCAGCATAGAGTCAGTCAGCTATTTAGGGCATCAGTGTTAGGTGTCAGCATAGAGCCAGTCAGTCATTATGGGCATCAGTGTTAGGTGTCCGCAGAGAGTCAGTCATTATAGGCATCAGTGTTAGGTGTCAGCATAAAGTCAGTCATTATGGGCATCAGTGTGAGGTGTCAGCATAGAGTCAGTCATTGAGTACAGGCATCAGTGTTAGGTGTCAGCATAGAGTCAGTCATTATGGGCATCAGTGTTAGGTGTCAGCATAAAGTCAGTCATTATGGGCATCAGTGTTGGGTGTCAGCATAGAGTCAGTCATTATGGGCATCAGTGTTAGGTGTCAGCATAGAGTCAGTCATTATGGGCATCAGTGTGAGGTGTCAGCATAGAGTCAGTCATTGAGTATAGGCATCAGTGTTAGGTGTCAGCATAGAGTCAGTCATTATGGGCATCAGTGTGAGGTGTCAGCATAGAGTCAGTCATTATGGGCATCAGTGTTAGGTGTCAGCATAGAGTCAGTCATTATGGGCAGCAGTGTTAGGTGTCAGCATAGAGTCAGTCATTATGGGCATCAGTGTTAGGTGTCAGCATAGAGTCAGTCATTATGGGCATCAGTGTGAGGTGTCAGCATAGAGTCAGTCATTGAGTACAGGCATCAGTGTTAGGTGTCAGCATAGAGTCAGTCATTATGGGCATCAGTGTTAGGTGTCAGCATAAAGTCAGTCATTATGGGCATCAGTGTTGGGTGTCAGTATAGAGTCAGTCATTATGGGCATCAGTGTTAGGTGTCAGCATAGAGTCAGTCATTATGGGCATCAGTGTGAGGTGTCAGCATAGAGTCAGTCATTGAGTATAGGCATCAGTGTTAGGTGTCAGCATAGAGTCAGTCATTATGGGCATCAGTGTGAGGTGTCAGCATAGAGTCAGTCATTATGGGCATCAGTGTTAGGTGTCAGCATAGAGTCAGTCATTATGGGCAGCAGTGTTAGGTGTCAGCATAGAGTCAGTCATTATGGGCATCAGTGTGAGGTGTCAGCATAGAGTCAGTCATTGAGTATAGGCATCAGTGTTGGGTGTCAGCATAGAGTAAGTCATTATGGGCATCAGTGTTAGGTGTCAGCATAGAGTCAGTCATTATGGGCACCAGTGTGAGGTGTCAGCATAGAGTCAGTCATTGAGTATAGGCATCAGTGTTAGGTGTCAGCAGAGAGTCAGTCATTATGGGCATCAGTGTGAGGTGTCCGCAGAGAGTCAGTCATTGAGTATAGGCATCAGTGTGAGGTGTCAGCATAGAGTCAGTCATTCAGTATAGGCATCAGTGTTAGGTGTCAGCATAGAGTCAGTCATTATAGGCATCAGTGTTAGGTGTCAGCATAGAGTCAGTCATTATGGGCATCAGTGTTAGGTGTCAGCATAGAGTCAGTCATTGAGTATAGGCATCAGTGTTAGGTGTCAGCATAGAGTCAGTCATTATGGGCATCAGTGTTAGGTGTCAGCATAGAGTCAGTCATTGAGTATAGGCATCAGTGTTAGGTGTCAGCATAGAGTCAGTCATTATGGGCATCAGTGTTGGGTGTCAGCATAGAGTCAGTCATTATGGGCATCAGTGTGAGGTGTCAGCATAGAGTCAGTCATTGAGTATAGGCATCAGTGTTGGGTGTCAGCATAGAGTCAGTCATTATGGGCATCAGTGTGAGGTGTCAGCATAGAGTCAGTCATTGAGTATAGGCATCAGTGTTAGGTGTCAGCATAGAGTCAGTCATTATAGGCATCAGTGTGAGGTGTCAGCATAGAGTCAGTCATTGAGTATATGCATCAGTGTTAGGTGTCAGCATAGAGCCAGTCAGTCATTATGGGCATCAGTGTGAGGTGTCAGCATTGAGTCAGTCATTCAGTATAGGCATCAGTGTTAGGTGTCAGCATAGAGTCAGTCAATCAGTATAGGCATCAGTGTTAGGTGTCAGCATAGAGCCAGTCAGTCATTATGGGCAGCAGTGTGAGGTGTCAGCATAGAGTCAGTCATTGAGTATAGGCATCAGTGTTGGGTGTCAGCATAGAGTCTGTCATTATAGGCATCAGTGTGAGGTGTCAGCATAGAGTCAGTCATTGAGTATAGGCATCAGTTGAGGTGTCAGCATAGAGTCAGCCATTGAGGGCATCAGTGTGGGGTATCAGCTTAGAGTCAGTCATTCAGTATAGGCATCAGTGTTAGGTGTCAGCATAGAGTCAGTCATTATGATCATCAGTTAAAGTGTCATCGTAGAGTCAGTCATTCATTATGGGCATCAGTTGAGGTGTCTGCATAGAGTCAGTCATTATGATCATCAGTTAAAGTGTCAGCATAGAGTCAGTCATTGAGGGCATCAGTTGAGGTGTCAGCATAGAGTCAGTCAGCTATTGAGGGCATCAGTTGAGGTGTCAGCATAGAGTCAGTCAGCTATTGAGGGCATCAGTTGAGGTGTCAGCTTAGAGTCAGTCAGTTATTGAGGGCATCAGATGAGGTGTCAGCTTAGAGTCAGTCAGGTATTTAGAGCATCAGTTGAGGTGTCAGCATAGACTCAGACATTATGGGCATCAGTTGAGGTGTCAGCATAGAGTCAGTCAATTATTGAGGGCATCAGATGAGGTGTCCGCATAGAGTCAGTCAGCTATTGAGGGCATCAGTTGAGGTGTCAGCGTGGAGTCAGTCAGGTATTTAGAGCATCAGTGTTAGGTGACACCATAGAGTCAGTCAGCTTTTGAGGGCATCAGATGAGGTGTCAGCATAGAGTCAGTCAGTTATTAAGGGCATCAGATGAGGTATCAGCTTAGAGTCAGTCAGTTCTTGAGGGCATCAGTGTTAGGTGTCAGCATAGAGTCTGTCAGTTATGGAGGGCATTAGATGAGGTGTCAGCATAGAGTCAGTCAGTTATTGAGGGCATCAGATGAGGTGTCAGCTTAGAGTCAGTCAGGTATTTAGAGCATCAGTGTGAGGTGTCAGCATAGAGTCAGTCAGCTATTGAGGGCATCAGTTGAGGTGTCAGCATAGAGTCAGTCAGCTATTGAGGGCATCAGTTGAGGTGTCAGCATAGAGTCAGTCAGCTATTGAGGGCATCAGTTGAGGTGTCAGCATAGAGTCAGTCAGCTATTGAGGGCATCAGTTGAGGTGTCAACTAGAGTCAGTCAGCTATTGAGGGCATCAGTTGAGGTGTCAGCTTAGAGTCAGTTATTCTTCTCATGTATGTAAGTGTGGTTATCAACAAAGCAACCATCTCATATAAAACAAGTTCGAAAGAACTAATGCAACAGTGCTATATAAGTGCAGATTTTAATAAAAACAAACAACAAATTGAATTCAAAGAATGTGTCTTACTTTTCTGTGGCACTTTTACTGCAAGGGTAAGATGTCTGTCGATGCGGTACAGAGGACTGGCCACAAACCCCCACTCCAAAACACAGCTGGGTCTACAACACAAGGAACATTTTATCATTCTGAGTGGATACACCAAACTGCATACCTCTGTTGACCCTGACTGATAATGTTTTGTGTCACCTGTTGTGGTGCTGACTGATCAGTGATATTGTTACCTGTTGTGGTGGTGACTGATTGGTTATATTGTCACCTGTTGAGGTGCTGACTGATTGGTTATATTGTCACCTGTTGTTGTGCTGACTGATTGGTTATATTGTCACCTGTTGTGGTTGTCACTGTGGATGACCAGGCCATGGAGCTGACCCTCGTGAATGCGACGAACGCTGTCGGGGTAGTTCTCAATGCAGTGGTTCATCACCTCCTCTCGCTCCTCTCGCCATCGCAAGAAGGAAACAAGAATTGTGAAGAAGCCTGGTATTTCTCGGTCCTCAGTCAGCCTACACAGATACAACAGTTACCATTGTGTACAGAAAACTGCCTCTGTTACATCCTAACAATAAATTTATGTTCATTACACTAAAAGCTTCACTAATATTCAACAGACTTCGTCTTCAGGGCCGACATATTTAGTTGCCAACATTCCATGATCTCACTCCTGCAGCTAGGATTAACAGTTAACGTCCCATGATCTCACTCCTGCAGCTAGGGTTAACAGTTAACATCCCATGATCTCACTCCTGAAGCTAGAGTTAACAGTTAACATCCCATCTCACTCCTAAAGCTAGGGTTAACAGTTAACATCCCATGATCTCACTCCTGTAGCTAGGGTTAACAGTTAACATCCCATCTCACTCCTATAGCTAGGGTTAACAGTTAACATCCCATGATCTCACTCCTGAAGCTAGGGTTAACAGTTAACATCCCATGATCTCACTCCTGAAGCTAGAGTTAAAAGTTAACATCCCATCTCACTCCTAAAGCTAGGGTTAACAGTTAACATCCCATGATCTCACTCCTGAAGCTAGAGTTAACAGTTAACATCCCATCTCACTCCTAAAGCTAGGGTTAACAGTTAACATCCCATGATCTCACTCCTGTAGCTAGGGTTAACAGTTAACATCCCATGATCTCACTCCTGTAGCTAGGATTAACAGTTAACATCCCATGATCTCACTCCTGCAGCTAGGGTTAACAGTTAACATCCCATGATCTCACTCCTGAAGCTAGAGTTAACAGTTAACATCCCATCTCACTCCTAAAGCTAGGGTTAACAGTTAACATCCCATGATCTCACTCCTGTAGCTAGGGTTAACAGTTAACATCCCATGATCTCACTCCTGTAGCTAGGGTTAACAGTTAACATCCCATGATCTCACTCCTGTAGCTAGAGTTAACAGTTAACATCCCATCTCACTCCTAAAGCTAGGGTTAACAGTTAACATCCCATGATCTCACTCCTGAAGCTAGAGTTAACAGTTAACATCCCATCTCACTCCTAAAGCTAGGGTAAACTGTTAACATCCCATGATCTCACTCCTGAAGCTAGAGTTAACAGTTAACATCCCATGATCTCACTCCTGCAGCTAGGGTTAACAGTTAACATCCCATGATCTCACTCCTGCAGCTAGGGTTAACAGTTAACATCCCATGATCTCACTCCTGAAGCTAGAGTTAACAGTTAACACCCCATCTCACTCCTAAAGCTAGGGTTAACAGTTAACATCCCATGATCTCACTCCTGTAGCTAGGGTTAACAGTTAACATCCCATCTCACTCCTGAAGCTAGGGTTAACAGTTAACATCCCATGATCTCACTCCTGTAGCTAGGGTTAACAGTTAACATCCCATGATCTCACTCCTGTAGCTAGGGTTAACAGTTAACATCCCATGATCTCACTCCTGTAGCTAGAGTTAACAGTTAACATCCCATCTCACTCCTAAAGCTAGGGTTAACAGTTAACATCCCATGATCTCACTCCTGTAGCTAGGGTTAACAGCTTACATCCCATGATCTCACTCCTATAGCTAGGGTTAACAGTTAACATCCCATGATCTCACTCCTGTAGCTGGGGTTAACAGTTAACATCCCATGATCTCACTCCTGTAGCTGGGGTTAACAGCTAACATCCCATGATCTCACTCCTATAGCTAGGATTAACAGTTAACCAGGGATGGAAATAACCCATTGCCCGATGTCTGAGTCCAGTGTTTTTTTCTGTCGGGCAAGCAAATTTTTACATCACACTGTACCGGTGTCCAGTTGACTTTCCAAAGTTAATCATGTTGTTTATTTAAAAAACCAACAAGAAAACGGACGGTATAGTGGAAAAATTATCAGGGCAAGTGATTTTACATGTGCCGATGTACAGGAGTACACTACCAATTTTAAAGTTATTTCCACCCCTCGTTAACACCCCATGATCTCACTCCTGAAGCTAGGTTTAACAGTTAACATCAGAGGGACTCACTCCTGTAGCTAGGGTTAACAGTAAACACATGCTGGACTCACTCCTGTAGCTAGGATTAACAGTTAACATGAGAGGGACTTACTCTTGTAGCTAGGGTTAACAGTTAATACAAGAGGGACTCAATCCTGCAGCTAGGGGTAACAGTCAACATGAGAGGGACTCACTCCTGTAGCTAGGATTAACAGTTAACATGAGAGGGACTTACTCTTGTAGCTAGGGTTAACAGTTAACACGAAAGGGACTCACTCCTGTAGCTAGGGTTAACAGTCAACATGAGAGGGACTCACTCCTGCAGCAAGCGTTAATGGTCAACATGAGAGGGACTTACTCTTGTAGCTAGGGTTAATGGTTAACATGAGAGGGACTCACTCCTGCATCTAGGGTTAATGGTGAACATGAGAGGGACTTACTCTTGTAGCTAGGGTTAACAGTTAACATGAGAGGGACTTACTCCTGCAGCTAGGGTTAACAGTTAACATGAGAGGGACTTACTCTTGTAGCAAGGGTGTACAGTTAACATGAGAGGGACTTACTCCTGTAGCTAGGGTTAACAGTTAACATGAGAAAGACTTACTCCTGTAGCTAGGGTGAACAGTTAACATGAGAGGGACTCACTCCTGCAGCTAGGGTTAACAGTTAACATGAGAGGGACTTACTCTTGTAGCTAAGGTTAACACTTAACATGAGAAAGACTTACTCCTGTAGCTAGGGTCAATGGTTAACATGAGAGGGACTTACTCCTGTAGCTAGGGTTAACAGTTAACATGAGAGGGACTTACTCTTGCAGCTAGGGTTAACAGTTAACATGAGAGGGACTCACTCCTGCAGCTAGCGTTAACAGTTAACATGAGAGGGATTTACTCTTGTAGCTAGGGTTAACAGTTAACATGAGAAAGACTTACTCCTGTAGCTAGGGTTAACAGTTAACATGAGAGGGACTTACTCCTGTAGCTAGGGTTAACAGTTAACATGAGAGGGACTCACTCCTGCAGCTAGGGTTAACAGTTAACATGAGAGGGACTTACTCCTGTAGCTAGGGGTAACAGTTAACATGAGAGGGACTTACTCCTGTAGCTAGGGTTAATGGTTAACATGAGAGGGACTCACTCCTGTAGCTAGGGTTAATGGTTAACATGAGAGGGACTCACTCCTGTAGCTAGGGGTAACAGTTAATACAAGAGGGACTCACTCCTGTAGCTAGGGTTAATGGTTAACATGAGAGGGACTTACTCTTGTAGCTAGGGTTAACAGTTAATACAAGAGGGACTCACTCCTGCAGCTAGGGGTAACAGTTAATACAAGAGGGACTCACTCCTGTAGCTAGGGTTAACAGTTAACATGAGAAAGACTTACTCCTGTAGCTAGGGTGAACAGTTAACATGAGAGGGACTCACTCCTGCAGCTAGGGTTAACAGTTAACATGAGAGGGACTTACTCTTGTAGCTAAGGTTAACAGTTAACATGAGAAAGACTTACTCCTGTAGCTAGGGTCAATGGTTAACATGAGAGGGACTTACTCCTGTAGCTAGGGTTAACAGTTAACATGAGAGGGACTTACTCTTGTAGCTAGGGTTAACAGTTAACATGAGAGGACTCCTCCTGCAGCTAGCGTTAACAGTTAACATGAGAGGATTTACTCTTGTAGCTAGGGTTAACAGTTAACATGAGAAAGACTTACTCCTGTAGCTAGGGTTAACAGTTAACATGAGAGGGACTTACTCCTGTAGCTAGGGTTAACAGTTAACATGAGAGGGACTCACTCCTGCAGCTAGGGTTAACAGTTAACATGAGAGGGACTTACTCCTGTAGCTAGGGTTAACAGTTAACATGAGAGGGACTTACTCCTGTAGCTAGGGTTAATGGTTAACATGAGAGGGACTCACTCCTGTAGCTAGGGTTAATGGTTAACATGAGAGGGACTCACTCCTGTAGCTAGGGGTAACAGTTAATACAAGAGGGACTCACTCCTGTAGCTAGGGTTAATGGTTAACATGAGAGGGACTTACTCTTGTAGCTAGGGTTAACAGTTAATACAAGAGGGACTCACTCCTGCAGCTAGGGGTAACAGTTAATACAAGAGGGACTCACTCCTGTAGCTAGGGTTAATGGTTAACATGAGAGGGACTTACTCTTGTAGCTAGGGTTAACAGTTAACATGAGAAAGACTTACTCCTGTAGCTAGGGTTAACAGTTAACATGAGAGGGACTCACTCCTGTAGCTAGGGTTAACAGTTAACATGAGAGGGACTCACTCCTGCAGCTAGGGTTAACAGTTAACATGAGAGGGACTTACTCCTGTAGCTAGGGTTAACAGTTAACATGAGAGGGACTCACTCCTGTAGCTAGGGTTAATGGTTAACATGAGAGGGACTCACTCCTGTAGCTAGGGTTAATGGTTAACATGAGAGGGACTCACTCCTGTAGCTAGGGGTAACAGTTAATACAAGAGGGACTCACTCCTGTAGCTAGGGTTAATGGTTAACATGAGAGGGACTTACTCTTGTAGCTAGGGTTAACAGTTAATACAAGAGGGACTCACTCCTGCAGCTAGGGGTAACAGTTAATACAAGAGGGACTCACTCCTGTAGCTAGGGTTAATGGTTAACATGAGAGGGACTTACTCCTGTAGCTAGGGTTAATGGTCAACATGAGAGGGACTCACTCCTGCAGCTAGGGGTAACAGTTAACATGAGAGGGACTTAGTCCTGTAGCTAGGGTTAATGGTTAACATGAGAGGGACTCACTCCTGTAGCTAGGGTTAATGGTTAACATGAGAGGGACTCACTCCTGTAGCTAGGGTTAATGGTTAACATGAGAGGGACTCACTCCTGTAGCTAGGGTTAATGGTTAACATGAGAGGGACTCACTCCTGTAGCTAGGGGTAACAGTTAACATGAGAGGGACTCACTCCTGTAGCTAGGGTTAACAGTTAACATGAGAGGGACTTACTCCTGTAGCTAGGGTTAATGGTTAACATGAGAGGGACTCACTCCTGTAGCTAGGGTTAATGGTTAACATGAGAGCGACTCACTCCTGTAGCTAGGGGTAACAGTTAATACAAGAGGGAC